CGAATTGGGAGGGAGCTCCAAGACAGACTAAGTGAAAAGGCAAGATGCTGTGAACGGTGCAGACAGTCCGTGTATGAGTCCATAGTTCAAAAATGATAACAATAATATGGAGGAAGAAGTCTAACAGGTCATTCCAGAGCGATCCTGAGAGCAGATTTAGAGGTGCTGTCCGTCCTGCTCCCAACTGGCAAATGTCTGGGTAGCACCTCCCTGAGACCTGTCTCCCTTCCTACAAAAAAACAAGGATGAGAGTTTGGACCTCCTGGTGGGCTTACGGAGGGGATTAAGGGGGGAAAAATGCATGTAAATGACCCGCACTTCTCCCAGAGCCGGTACACAAAGATACATTCGTAAAAGTAAAAAATTATTTCCCTTGTGAGAGAATGGGAACGAAGATCATTTAACTTTTCTTAACCCCCTTTTAAAAATTTGTTTTATAAATACACTCAAATGTACAAAGGAGTGACGGGAAAAATCTAAAGAATAACTGTATACTGTTTACCCAGAGTCACCAGTTGTTAACGTGGGCCATGTTGGCACTGTCCCCTCAGCTTTTTCTTAAGACATGTGGTCCCCTTTTACCTTAACTACTTCCAGCATGTACTTCTTAGGAACAGAGACATTCTCTTACATAACCAAGTATGATTATCAAATTCAGGAATGAAACACAGATACAACATTCTCACCGAATTTGTCATTGTATTCAAACTTCATCAATTGTCCCAATAATGGTCTTTTTAAAAATTATGGTTTAACAAAACACAGTAAAATTTACCATTTTAATAATTTCTAAGTGTACAGGTTAGTAAAGTATATTCACACTGTTGTGCCAATAATATTTTTTTATAGCAATTGTGTATCTCCGTCCAAGGTCACACACCGCATTTACTTAACTTGTCTTTTTTAGTTTCTTTGAATTTGGAAAATTTCCCTAGACTTTCTTTGTTGATAAATTTTGTGTCATAGGTGTTTTGAAAAGTCTAGGCTAACTGTCATTTTGTATTTTTGTTACGTGCCTTTATAATAAAGGTGCTGATACGGAAGGTGCGATTAGGATAATAACTGGAAACATGAAAATGTCCACAGTAATTTTCTTACCATTTTTTGGTAGAAGAGGACCCGGACTTTGCCCCTTCTGTTAAAACGCCCCTGGGCAGCATGGGGGATCCCTCTGTAGCTCTGCTGTTCCAGTCCCCTGGTGTGAGACTGTACTGTATCAGTGTAGCACATGATGTCTGTGCAGTGAGAGAAACTGAGCGAAGCGTACAGAGATCTCATTATGACTTCTTACAAACGTCTGCGAATCTACAGTTATCTCAACATAAAAAGTTCATCTTTAAAAAATGTCCTTTGGCGTTTTAGAGAGTGAAGGGCCAACCTTTCTCCTCGGGAGAACGAGAACGTGGCCCCTTGGTGAAATTCCCAGCAGGAATTCTCTTGCCTGAGAAAGAACTTCTTAATGAACTTCTTTCACTTGCAGGGTAGGGGGAGGGGGTCTCCTTTATTTTCCACATGGACATTTTAAAGTGAATGAAGGGAGCAGGGTCCCTCATTAAGGCTGAAATGGGAGCTGCTGGAGGCAGGGGTTCTTTAGAAGGGAGGCCTGGTCCCAGGTCTGCATTTCCTGCTCCTAAGTTATCACATTAACAGTAATTACTGCTCCTTCCTCTATCCGAGAACGGACTGTGAAGGAGAATGCCGAAAAGACCATTTTCATCTATTATCTTTTGCTAGTTGCAAAGTTCTTGATAAAACTGAAAAATCGTAAAGGCCTAAATAGGTAATCATGGGAATTAGATATGGGCATTCAGTGGAATGAATATGTATTTAATTTCTTGATTTTTTAGGGGGAGAGAGAGAAACGTCCATTCATTGTTCCACTTAGTCATGCATTCATTGGTTACTTCTTGTATGCCCTGAATGGAGATCGAACTCGAAACCTTGGAGTATTAGGATGACATTCTAATGAACTGAGTTACCCGGCCAGTCCATGGAATATTATGCTGTATTTTATGATGATGTTTTTGTACCATTTATAAATTAAGCCAAGAATAGTATTGTCTGAGATTTTGAGGGCTTCTTTCAGAGCACTTGGACTTCTCCTTGGGACTAAGGGGATGTGGGTTGTTGACAGCATAACTCTGCCTACGGGTCTGAACCTGTTCAGGATGAAATGCTAATTTCTGGGTGTTCTCGGAGACATCAGTTACAGTCCTGCCTCTTCCTACCTTGAAATTTTGTCCATCCTTGTGCTATTTTGAACCCAGAAACTCTGAACATAGTATTCCTGGACCCTTCTAGGAATTTTTCCCAAAGAAATGATCCCAAAGAAATGTGGAGGGAAATATTGTGTAAAGGGATGCTTTTTATCATGTTCTGTTGAAAAATTGAAATAATAACAAGCATTTTTTGAGCACCATGAGCCAGTTGCTGTTTTCAGTGTTTTACGAGCATGATCTCATTTCATCTTCTCAAGTAGGTTCTGTTATTATCTTCATTTTTACAATTGAAAAAAGAAATGGAGCCCTGGCCAGGTTGCTCAGTTGGTGATAGCACCATCCCCACAAGCCAGGGTTCTGGGTTCAGTCCCCAGTCAGGGCACATACAAGAGTCAACCAATGAATACATAAATAAGTGGGATAATAAATTGATTTTTCTCTCTCTTCCCCCTTCTTCTTTCTCTCGCTCAAAATCAATACATTAAATTTTTTTTTAAAATGGAGGCACAGAAAATTTAGTAATTTGCCCAAGACAAAATAATTAGTAAGTGGGGGAGGCAAACATGTAAACAACAGCAATAACTCAACTGATAAGCATGAAAACAGAAATAATGTGAACAATAGGGAGGTGATGCAGACTATTAACATACATGGCGTGTATTTCAGTGTTTTAAAAAAAAAACCTGCACATGGCAGGCATTTAAAAATGGTTATTATTTGTACTTCAAACGTGAATGTAGCACCCTGGCTGGTGCAGCTCAGTGAATTGAGCGTGGGCTGTGAACCAAAGGGTTACCATTTCAATTCCCAGGCAGGACACATGCCTGAGTTGTGGGCCAGGTCCCCAGTGGGGGCCACATGAGAGGCAACCACACATTGATGTTTCTGTCTTTCTCCCTCCGTTCCCCTCTGTCTAAAAATAAAAATAATCTTTTAAAAAACAAAACAAAAAAACCCCTGAATGTAGCCAGCAATCACCTGGCGATCTCGTTGAAAATCCTGAATCAGCAGGTCTAGATTAGGCCTGAGAATCTGCATTTCTAACAGACTCCCAGGTAATGTCCCTGCTACTGCCTCAAGGACCATACTTCGAGGAACAGAACTTAATAGCTGGAGAGAGCCCTGATTATGTAAAAGCAAAACAAATCACAGTCACCCCAATGAATGGCTTGTCATGTGGAAAAAGACTAGAAGACAATACCATTACTGTCTCACTACAGTGCTGGCCTGCAGTTTCAAGGGGACTTCTCTCACGTTCTCTATTTTCTGTCACATAAGCTAATCACATTCCACAAATATTTATAAAGTGCCTCAGCACCCGTCACTGTAGGAGCAGAAATAAAGGAAATCCAGTGGTTTCCTCAAGGATGTTAGAAAAAAAAAGCTGAAGTAATTTAAAGAAACACACTTAAAATGAGTACATTTCATTGTATATAAATTACACTTCAACAATGTTGATTTAACACTTCAAGATATGAATAAATATAATTCCGTGTCTGAGATCTTTTTTAAAAGATTAGAAATATTCTAAAATAAAAATTCCTGGATGGTGAGTCAAGAAGTCCGAGTTCAATCCCTATCCTGTCTGTAACCCAAAGGTTTACTCCTACCTTGAACTTGGACAAGTGCCCTGGACACATTTTCAAAGTACTTTGTACTCTTGGCACCAGTTAATGATTTTACACACACATGAATTTCACATGTGTGTGTCTGCCTTCTTGACTAAACTCTCTTCTACCAGACCTGGTGCTGCATCTAATTTTCTCACTGTGATGTCCCAGCACCTGTCCTGGCATCTGCCCCACAGTAGGCACTCAATATTATCTGTTGAATGAATAAATGAGTGAAATAATGATTAAAGGTGAGGAGCTTGGCCTCTGGATAGAAGATATTTTCTTCAGACCCTTCCAGAGGGATTTTTCCAGAAGGGTAAAGGAGAAAGCCTGGCAGAGAAATCCAGCCAATCCTCCCTGGCCCCATATCCTATAGGCAAAAACCTCCATATTCTCAAGGCTAGGCACAGGGGTAGGTGAGGTCAGGTCCTAGATTGCAGGGAGCCTGTCTCTGTTTCTTAATGGGGACCTGGGGAACTCAAGGGGTCCTTTGGAAGAGAACTGGGTGGGGGGAAGTGTTTCAGGGCTGCAGTGACTATCACCTATGCCAACAACCTCCCCTTACCACTTGACCACTGCCTTTCCTGGCACTACCACAGCCCTTGCACTTCTTTTGGTCAGACCCTCCACTCCAGAAGTTCTCAAAGTGTCGACCCTGGGGAGTTGCTGGAAATGTAAATTCTCAGGCTGCATCCGGGGCCTTTCTAACCAAACACTGGGGGTGGGACCCAGTAATGGGCCTTGGAGTAAACTCCCCAGGAGGTGCTGATGAAAGCTCAAGTTTGAGACCTACTGCTCTACTCTGATGTAGGCCTCCCAGGGACACTCGGCCTGACTGAACAACGATGATAAATGATAGCACCTAGCCACTGATTGTCAGGATATGTTGCAGACATTTTAGAACTAGCCCCCCCCCCCCCCCCCGAGATCATTTGTAGGGATAAATGAAACTGAAGTTCGGAAAGGCCAAGCTACACCCAGAAGTCACCCAGCAGGAGACCAGGTAGAGAATCCCACGTTGCCCCTGGGCACAGTGGCCGCGCGCGTGTGTCCGTGGCGTCCCTAGGGCGTTCCGCCGTGAAGCCCCACCCTCACACCCGGGCGTTCCCGCGTGTCCGTGGCTCCTCGGGGGTGTGCCCCGCCCCGCTCTCGCGCTGGCCCGGGGAGGAGCACGGCGTCGGCGGCGCCCGTGGCGAAAGTGCGGCTGCGGAAGCGGCGAGACGGTCGGTGGCGGAGGAGGAAGCGGAGGGAGACGGCGGGAGCCGCCTGGCCAGGGGGACGCCATGGGCCGCCTGCACTGCAGGCAGGACCCCGTGCCGGAGGCGGTGGGCGGCGACATGCAGCAGCTGAATCAGCTGAGCGCGCAGGTGGGCCTGGCGGCCTGGGCGCGCCGGGCGATCCGGTCGCGGAGCCGTGGGGCAGCGGCCCTAGGTCGCGCTGGGAGGGCTGAGCAGGAAGCTGCGAGGTTAGGCGGAGGGCCGCCTGGGGTCGAGCAGCGCTTGGGGGGACCAGACCGAGCGGCGTCCGGTGCGCCTTATGGCGTTGGGGGAGTTCTGGGAGGGGCCGAGCGAAATTGGGGTCTGAGGCGACTTTGAGGGGTCGAAGGTTGTCGGAGGCCTAAGGGCAAGCTGAGAAGTCTCTTGCAGGGTTTGGATCTCAGAGGTGGGGCTAGGGACTGACAAGATCCAGCAGAGTTTGAGGAGTCCCAGAGGAGGGACTGAGGAGCGTCTTGACGAGGCTGAGGGCAGTTTGGGGAACTAAGCAATGGGTCGAGGGCTTTGGGAGGCCGAGGGACTGTGGGGGAGCAGTGGGACTTGGTGGGCCAGGCAGGGCTGAGACGTTTAGTAGGGAGGCCGAGGGGCTTGAGGAGCCAGAGGGGAGGGTCTGGGCATCCCGAGGGTAGCCTAGAGTGGGGCTAGGGAGTCGGGGGTCGTATGTGGGCTTGCGTAATAGCCAGGCCAGAGAGGGACTCTGGGCCCAAGGGCAGGGTCTGGGGTGAGGCTGGTGATGTGACATCCCACCTGCTCACACCTCCAGTTAAGGAAAATGCGGCCCTCGTAGCCCTTAAAGAAAGACACCATATATCCTCTGCACAGGGTAGGACCCAGTCTTCATGGAAGTGGAGCTGGCAAAGCCGTTTTGTCCCTTTCCAGGCCACAAGTGCCAACCTGACCGTCTTGGAGGCTTCGGTCCCTGTACTGGTTGGGATACCCCTTGATGCCCCCAAGGCAGACAAAGTAAATAGCTGAAAGTGACGCCTCTCACTCCCCCCCCCCCCCCCCCCCCCCCCCCCCGCAGAGTTCTTTCCTGCGCTGGGTTGTAACTTCCCAGGAGCTGGGGCTCTCCCTTTCATCGCTGCATCCTCCAGGACCCACTGTGTTCTCATTAAGTAATGGTGACAGCGATTATAATGACAGCCATCTTCTCAGGCTGCAGCGTCCAATAGGAATAAATTGCAAGCCGCATGTCTGATTTTACATTTTCTAACAGCCACATTTAAAAATTAAAAAGGAACGGGAAGTTAATGTTTTTTCTAACCGCCTATATCAATATATTATTTCAACATTGTAATCCACATAAAAAGATCAGCGAGATATTCTACTTTGTGGTACTAAGTTTTCTGGTTCTGGCATGTATTTTTACATTTACCACAGGTCCCAGATTAGTCCTTTTCAAGTGCCATAGCTACATGTGGCTAGTGACTACTGTACTAGACAGCACAGTTCTAAGTGCTTTTATTTATATTAATGCATTGAATCCTTGCAGCCACCCTGCCAGGTGAGTACTATTATTAACCCCATTTTACAGATGAGGAAACAATCACAGCAGTGAAATGAAAGCAGCTTTGATTTATTGGGCATGTGCCATATGCCAGGCACTGTCCTGAGTTCTTTATGTACAACAACCTTAAAAGTTAGGTGCTAACTTTATACCCATTTTACAGATAAGAAAAATGGTTCAGGGAAATAAGGGACTGGGTTAAAGCCAGGCAGCCTGGAAGTGATGGAGCCAGGAGTTCAGGACCAGATGTCTGAATTTCAGATCCTAGGGAATTAAACACACTCGAACGGAGCTTTGTAGATGATCTCCTGAACGAGGTAGCTTACATATTTCTTGTTTATGTGTAGGCGTTTTCTGGAAGACTTCCATTTGGAGAATAAAAGATTCTGCTGCACAAAAACTTTAAGCGTCCACATGAAACTAATGTAATATTATATGCCAACCATACTTGAATTAAAAATAATAATAACTGGTCCTGGCTGGTATAGCTCAGTGGATTGAGCGCAGGCCTGCAAACCAAACAACCGCCGTTTGATTCCCAGTCAGGGCACATGCCTGGATTGCAGGCCAGTTCTCAGCAGGGATGCAGGAGAGGCAACCATACAATGATGTTTCTCTCCCTCTCTCCGTCCCTTCCCCTCTAAAGATAAATAAATAACATCTTGAAAATACTACTAATAATAGCTTTACGCTACTGGATTGTATGATCCTTAAGGTTACCTTCAACTTGCAAAATACGAACCATTTCCTTTAAGGTCAGAACTTGACCCATTTTCTTACCTTGAAACACACTAAACCTTTACCTTTGCTTTTAATACGGAAAGCTTTTTCCTGGTAAGCAACTTACCTTGAGTCACCTTGGCTCCCCTTTTGTTGGGTGGTCAAACTTTCCTGAGTACCCACTCTATCAGCCGAGTTTATTTTGGACCTAAACCTAAAGGAGAAGAAGAATCGTTTTATTAATGTTGGCATCACCATTTATTGCTTATCAGGTAGGTATTCATCTGAATGCCTAGTATACACCAGCTAGCTACTAAACCCAGTGGGGTTTACAGAGGCTTCATGGACACCGGCTGTTGCGATCTGCTGGAGCAGGGCAGACACAAAGACACGGCACAGTGCTCAGTGTATCTGCTTGTGCTCTGCACTGCCATTGATGAGTCCTAGGTACTGTGGAGCCTCGAAAGTGGGTGGGATGAAAAAATAATTATTTTTAGGATGGTTGTGAGAGAGGAAATTCAGAAAAATATAAAGAACAAACGGTCTACATGCCTCTCACTTAGCTGTAAATGCAAAGCAACACAAACATTAGAAAATTCAAACATTATCTGAAGGTATAAAATGAAAACAAAATACCTATTTCTCTTGTCCCCAGAAATAGTCATTTAAATACTTTCTTATGTATCTATGGAGAAAAGCTATATCTGCCATCATGTATAGGTGGGCTTTAATTTTTTTTTTTACATTTAAGGGAATTGTTGATATTCCTTGAAGTTGTTTTCAGCTTTTATGAACACTGCTGCCAATAAACTGCTTTGCATAAATGCGTCTGGGATTACTTTTTTGGAACATATCTAAAGGGTATACTTGTAATGGAATTACTAGGTCAAGGTCTTTTAAAAATTAGATGCAGATTGCCAAATTGCCCTCCAAAAATGTTTCTCCAGACCGTCCATTCATCACCTGTGTCAGCAGGTCTGTTACCTTTTACTTTGACCTGAACTGATGTCATCAAACTTATTTTTTTTAACTTTTTTTTTTTAGATCTTATAAGTGAAAATAAAAGTCTCCTTGTTTTACTGATTTGCATTCCTTTAGTCTGGAATGATCGTCAGCATCTTCTGATTTTCTTTAGTCTGGAATGATTGTCAGCATCTTCTGATACATTTACTGGTGAGACTAGTTTCGATTTTGATCTCTCAGGTGGTCACAGGCAGGTGAGCATTCCAGGGAGCGACAGTTATGCAGGTACAAAAGCAAAGAATGGGGGGAAATGTTCAAAGGGCATTTATTCAGCAAATACTGTGCCCTCACATTAATTAAGGTGCTGTGACAATACAAAACCTTACAAGGAACCTTCTCCGCTAAGGCTTGCTCTTGTTCCTTATCAAGATTGAAAATTCTAAGGGCCCCCAGGCAGAGTCCCAAGAGGGAGCCTCAGAGGTTAAGAATCTGGGTAGGTCCCTTTCTTGTTGGGAGTTCCTGGTCTCTTGGCCTGGGCTTTGAAGGACAGGGAGGGGAAAGTGGAGCTAGCTGGGGGTCTGTAACAGCCTACAGACCAGATTAGCTTGAGGCCCCTCTTGAGAGGAGAGGTGGGGGATGAGACTTCACAGGGAGGTTGAGCCTGAATTCTAGGCTGAGACCTGGAAATGAAGGGCTTCTCAGCAGTTGAAGGGCTTCTCAGCCCCCCCCTTTTTTTAAGGCCCTGGGTGGCATAGGAAATGCACTTGGCCAAAGATCTGATAGTTCCCCAGATTTGCAGCAAAAAGTGTAAAGAAATTTTTTAAAAAGACCCTCACAAATAGTTGAGTACATTCTCAAGCCAGTCTTGACTGTCCTTTTTACTATGTAGGAGCAGCAGTTAGGCAAGGCTAATACCCAATGTCGTAAATACTGCAGAAAGACAGTGTGTGGATCACATTGGTTAAAATGTTCCTGGGGTGTAAATCTGTACAACTTCTTTGCAAGGCAGTTTGGCAGCATTTTCTCATAATTTAAAATGCATATATCCTTTGACCTAGATTTTAAAAAAATATTTATTTTTAGGGAGAGGGGAAGGGAAGGAGAAAGAGTGGGAGAGAAACATCAATGTGTGGTTGCTTCTCAAGTGCCCCCCACTGGGGACCTGGCCTGCAACCCAGGCATGTGCCCTGACTGGGAATCAAACTGGCAACCCTTTGCTTCACAGGCCCATGCTCAATCCACTGAACTACACCAGTCAGGGCTGACCTAGATTTTAAGAATTTATCTTAATATATGTCAAAAAGATATATGTAGAAGGATAGTCATGGCAGCATTGTTTATAATGATACCAACAACACACACACACACTAATGTTCATCTCTAGGAAGCTAAATTATACTAACTGTACAGTCAAATGCCATGCAATTGTTTAAAAAGCTGGGTAGACTTATATCTGCTGACATGATTGATTTCTATGACAGAAATGAGTGGGAAAAAAAGACAAGGTGTAGGGAGTGGGTTCAATATGATTTCATTTGTATTTAAAATAAATTAAATGAAAATAAAATGATGGGAAAGCCACAGAGGTATTAGAAGTAACCACCTGTGGGGAGTGGGACTGAGGCGGGGGACAGGTAGAAAGAGAAATGTTTTATTTTGCAACCTTTTATGCTAGTTAGGCCTTTGCAAAACCTTGCACATATATTGATTTTATGTTTCCAAAGGCTAGTTTTAAAACAATACATTCTAGAATAAAGTAATACAGAGCCATGCCAGGAGTTGGCATGGAATTTAGTGGGTTATAGCAAAAGAGCAGGTGCACTTGACCATCATATTACATGTATAACCTTGGCGACTTTAGGCTTAAGTATTTGCATATAACCTTTTTTTAGTGTTGTATTGCTTCAGAAAGGTGGATCAAATGGTATAGTGGCTCTAATTATGGCTGTGATCGTTGCTGCCATTTTTTTAGCCTCTAGCCTGGCACAGTGCTGGAGGCTTTGCACTTAATCACCTTTGAATATGTTCTGGAAATGGGGACTGAGACAGGGAGGCTGAGTAACTCGTCCAAGATTACATGGTAAAGTGAGTAGGAAAACCCTGACTCACACCTGGGTCTTTCAAACTCCTGGGTCTTAGGTTTCCCACCACGCCACACACTGTCCACGGGGAGGGGACACGGGGAAGCAGCGACATATGTCTCAGTCTGCTTGGGCTGCTATAACAAAATACTGCAGACTGGCTGGTTTTAACCACGGAAATTTATTTCTCAGAGTTCTGGGGACTGGTAAATCCAAGATCAAGGTGCCAACAGATTTAGTTCCTGGTGAGAGCTCTTTTCCTGGCTTGCAGATGACTGCCTTCTCATGTGTCCTCACATGACTTCTGTCATATAGAGACCTCTGGCGTCTCTTCCTCTTTCAAGGACACCTGCCCTGTGGGATTAAGGGCCCTACCTTAATGACCTCATTTAACCTTCACTACCTCCTCTCAGGCTCTATCTCTAAACACAGTAACAGATTCACATGGGAATTTTGGGGGACAAACATTCAGTCCTTAATAAGACAACACCAATAAAGAGAGAGTTTACATGCACAAAATAATAAGAGACTGGTCTAAGACAATGAATAATAAAGTGTTAAACTTTACTGTTTTATGCATATATATATACACACAAGAGGCTTTTTAAAAAGATTTTATTTATTTATTTTTAGAGAGAGGAAGGAAGGGAGGAAGAGAGGGAGAGAAACGATACGAGAGAGAAACATTAATGCCCTGACCAGGAATTGAACTGGTAACCTTTTACTTTGCAGAGTAGATACCCAACCAACTGAGCCCCACTGGTCAGGGCCATAAGAAGTTTCTTATGGGGGTAAACCCCCCCAGAAAATATGGGTAGATGAAACAGAAGAAATAAAAATACCAAAAGTCTCACTCTGCTAAAGTAACTGCTTTTAAAAAGCAAGGTACAGAAAAAGTTTATATAGTATGTTACCATTTGTGTGGAGGGGGAGGAGAAATTACATATTAGATTGACTTATGTTTGAATAATAAATATGTAGAAGTATAAACAAACACACTAAACAAGTAACTGTTATTAATGTTCCAGTGAATTTCCCTTTCAGGCCAGGAGTGTATGTGTGTTCTTGTGTATATTTAGACTCGTGAGGTGTGTGTTTGCACATGTGCTCACACTTGCAGTCTCTCAGTACATATCTCCCAAGTATCCCAATAAAATATTCAAGTGTTTCAGACAATATATTGACATTGGTGGATGTTTTGTGAGTATCTGTAACTTTAAGATGATCAAAACAGGTATCAATAGCCGTGTGTTACTCTTTTCTCTCTTAATGGTCTGTGGTTGGATGGGATGTGGGAACACTGACCAGGAGTAGGATTTTGCTGATGTTCTGTGTTGTTCTCTTCACAGCAGTTCTCCGCCCTGACAGAAGTGCTTTTTCACTTCCTAACTGAGCCAAGAGAGGTAAAGTATTTTGTGAAAAGAAGAGTTCCCCAGTGTGGGTTGGGTCTGTAATCCTGAGATACTTAGAAAGTGAAGGCCTCGTTTGTGCTGTTCTCTCTTTGCAGGCCGAAAGGTTTATGGCTCAGCTCTCTGAATTTGCCACCACCAATCAGATCAGTCTTGGCCCCCTCAAAAGCATCGTGAAAAGCCTCCTTCTGGTTCCAAATGGTGAGTAGCCTGTCTGAGGTCAGAGACGTCCCTCCAGTCCATAGAGTCAGCAAGTGGCCTAGACACGGAGCCAGGACAGTCAGTAGTGCGTCAGGCACTGGCGGGATTGGCATTCTAGGGAGGGAAGCCAGGTCAGCGGGTAACCCTGGCAGGATATAATAGAGGTGCAGTTCGGAGTGTAGTCTGCACCCTGGCTTCAGTGCCCAAAATGTTATCTGGGCCTTAACTAGTACACACAGAGACTGAAAGTAAGCATTTAGAAATTTTTATAGCAATTTGACAAAGTCTCTTAAATCTAGTAATTTTTGTAAAATGGCGCTTTTTTTTTTTAGTGTGGTAAAATATATGTAACATAAACTTTATTATTATAATCATTTGGGGCTTGTATTTTGTATGTGTTTTTTCATTTTCTATTTCTAGGATTAATACTTTTTTAAAAAAATATTTATTTATTTTTTAGAGAGAGAGGAAGGGGAGGAGAAACAGAGGGAGAGAAACTTCAGTGTGTGGTTGCCTCTCACACACCCCGTACTGGGGACCTGGCCCACAACCCAGACATGTGCCCTGATTGGGGATCGAACCAGTGACCCTTTGGTTCACAGGCATGTGCTCAGTCCACGGGGCCATACAAACCAGGGTGGATTAATATTTTTTGATTCCCAGTGGATTGAAAATGAAAAAGGTCATTCACTACAGGTGGTTCGAGAGGCATTTGCCCCCAGCAGTCAGGCAGCTTCCAGCCAGGAGGGAGGAGATCAGGAAGGGGTGGCTCTAGGGACGCCCACTGGGCACTGTATAAGATAGGAGGAAATTAGAAACAACTGGATTGTCCAGCAACTGGAGATTGGGGTAAGAAGTTGTGCTCCGTTTTTGCCAGGGGACATTCTGGTGGTCAAGAATTCACAGTTCTGAGTTAGATGGACCTGGGTGTGATACCCAGTCTGTCACTTGGTAAGTGGTGTGACTTTGGCCAGGAACCCATGTTTCTTAACCCCTAACAACAACCCCTTCTTAGCAGTCCCTCCTGCATCTAGGCGCTGTGTGTGTGTGTGTGTGTGTGTGTGTAGGGGAAGTCTTGTTTGAAGATTGAAACAATATAAATAAAATGCTTAGCACAGCACCTCCGTACAAGGTTGCTCTTGTGTGTAAGTCATGTAGTAATCTTAAAAAATGATGGTGAGGAAAATGTAATGATATGGAAAACCTTTCACAGTAAACTGTTCAATAAAAATAGTAGTTTACAAAACTTTCTACCACAGTCCTATTTTTGGAAAGAAAAGAAAGAGAGAAAGAAAGAAAAAGAATGTTAACTGTGGCTATATCTGGGTGGTAGGACCGCAGGTTGTTTTAATTGTTTTATTTTAGGCTGTGTATTATCTAATAAGTTGCTAGAATTAATTTGGCAATTTAGTTAATTTTATCTAAAAAGAGGCAACATTTGAGTCTAGTCTTTTTTTTTTAATAGAAAGAGGAAGGGAGAAAAAGAGAGAAAAACACCGATCTGTTGTTCTACTCGTTCATACACTCATTGGTTGACTCTTACAAGTGCCCTTAACCAGGGATCAAACTCAGAACCCTGGTGTAATGGGACAGTGCTTCAACCAGCTGAGCTACCTGGCCAGGACTGAACCCGGTCTTAAAGAATCAGTAAATGTTGACAAGGTCGACAGGAGGTAGAACAGCATCCCTGGTTTGCACATTTTAAAAATCAACAATGCGCGGGCCTGCGAAGCAGACAATCGCGGTTCGATTCCCAGTCAGGGCACATGCCAGGGTTGCAGGCGGGTTCCCTGCAGGCCAGTTCCCAGCAGGGGATGCACGAAAGGCAACCATACATTGATGTTTCTCTCCCTCTCTCCTTCCCTTCCCCTCTAAAGATAAATAAATAAATAAATAAATAAATAAATAAATAAATAAATAAAATTTTAAAAAAAGTGTAACTTTAAAAAAAAAAAAAGAATGCGGCAGTCCCTATACCTTTAAAAAAAAAATCAACAATGCTCTGACTGGTGAGGCTCAGTTGCTTGAGCATCATCCTGCAGAGTGAAGGGTCACAGGTTCGATTCTCAACCCAGGTACTTGTGTCTGGGTTATGGGCCTGTTGCCTGTTTAGGGCACCTGTGAAAGGCAGCTGATAGATGTTTCTCTCCCTTTCTTTTTCCCTCCCTTCCTTTCTCTCTAAAAACAAATGAATTTAAAAAAAAAATCAGCCCTGGCTGACGTGGCTCAGTGGATCGAGTGCTGGCCTGGGAACCAAAAGGTCATAGGTTTGACTCCCAGTCAGGGCCTGTGCCTGGATTTCTGGCCAGGTTCCTAGTTAAGAACGTGTGAGAGGCAACCAGTTGATGTTATCTCTCGCATATCCATGTTTCTCTCCCTCTCTCTCCCTGCCTTCCCCTCTCTAAAAATAAATAAATAAATAAATAAAGTCATTTAAGGACTTAGCCAAATGGTGCACTAGAAGTTGGGCGCTTAAATTATTTGCTCCTGTTGGCTGTCTTCCCAGGTCTTCCCTGCCCTGTGCCCTGCCCTGTGCCCTGCCCTGTGCCCTGTGAGGCTGAAGACTTGAGTCAGAACGTCTCTGAAGTTTTCTTTTTCATTTTTTAAAAGATTTTATTTATGTATTTATTTTTAGAGAGGGAGAAAAAGACCAGTGCGAGAGAGAAATGTGGATCAGTTGCCTCTCACACACACCCCCACCTGCAGCCCAACCTGCCACCCAGGCACGCGCCCCATGGGGATCTAGCCAGCGACCCCTCGCACTGTGGGATGATGCCCGCCCAGCTGAGCCTCGTGGGTCAAGGCCCCTGAGGTCTTCAGCTGTGAAATGTCATGATCCTCCGTCCGTGTGCCTCTTGCGTTCTTTGCCCTCATGGAGGGTTAAAGGCATGTGAACCGCAAGGCTGGGTGGGAACCTGTGGTCTTTTTAACTCAGGAATAAATTTTCCTGGCAAACTTAACAAACAGTGCAGAGCTATGGAGAGTCAGAAGTAAAAATTCCCTTTTGCAGTCATCCCACTGTTTAGAAATAATCACAATATCATTGTGAAATATGTCTTTTAATATTTTTATGTACTCTGACAGACTTACATGCAGTTTTATTTTTCGTAAATGATAGTAAGCCACAGCATCGCTGTCCAGCTTGCATTTTTTTCATACCCAGAACCTCACGCAGACCTCTCCACGTCAGCTGCATTCTTGTGGTGACTGTAGTGCACCTGGGACTGAAAGGAGCTCCTCCTAGTTAACCCACTTCCTACTGCCTGACGTTTTAGTTGTTCCTACTTCTCACTCAGAAACAATGGCACAGTGAGCATCCTTAGGACATTGCGTACTTACCGTATGTGAGCATTTCTGTAGGACAGGTGCCCAGAGTGAGGGCCTTTGCTCTCAGCCCCAAGCCTACACGTGTGGGAACGGGTTTGTCTGCAGGTGGAGACCTGTCTCCCTAGAGCTGTCGTGGACACCGATTTTCTGCAGACCTCCGTCTGGGGTCCCTGCCTGCCCTCTTTCCTGTCGCCTTTCTGCTCCCTGCTCCCTGCTCCGCTCCATCCCGTCAAACTGCCTTCTGTCCTCCCCAGCCCCGGGGCTCCAGCCTCTTCCAGAAAGCCTTCCTAAACCACTCCAGTCCGCAGTGACCTCCCTTCCTCTCAGCAACGGAGATCTGGTTTTTCTATCTGCAGCTCTCATTTTGAACCGTAACCATTTACTTGTCTGTTGTCCATACTGCTTCATGTGTGTCTGTCTCATGGCTGGTTCCCTGAAGTCCTTGACGTCAGGGGCAAGGCTTGTACTTCTTGCTGTAGCTACAGTTGCAAGTTAACTAACGACATAGAGCAAGTGCTTAGTGCATGCTGGGTGAGTTGAATTGAATTTGGGGGAGCCAGTGACCCTCCTGGGGGGTGTTAGGTGTTTTTGCAGTAGGATTGTTTATAGAAGGTCATTTTCTGTAGATGCAGAGAACATTGAAAGTGCTCTTAGCATGCCAGTCCAGACTTGGGCTCTGGGGGCTCACCGGGTTTGAGTGCGTTCACATCACCAAGCGTAGTTATTCGATCTCGGATACCCAGCCTTTCGGAGGCTCAGTTTCTCATCTGATAAATGGAGTAATAAGAACAGTTTATGGCAGTGTCACTAGGAACAAGTGGGTGAATATATGTAAAGCACTTAATACAGTACTTGCTAAACTTTAGCTTTATTTGTTGATAATTCAGTTCATTTTAGCTCCCGTGCCGTAATATCAGGTTACAAAATAAAATATTCCTTCATCTAATAGCAAGGATCTGAATTTACCTCTTGACTATGTAATGTCCCGAAGCTTTCAAGCTTTTCAAATTCTAGAATTGAAGGCTCGGGTTTGCTGTACATGTCTGTTCTCAACCGTTTATTTTACTCTTCTTTTTGTTCCCATGCAACTGACTTTGGTCTTCCTGCAGAGTTTTCCTGTTTGAACTCTCCATTTCTTCTTGAGTGTCTCCTAAGCATCTGACATGAGGCTTGTAAGTCTCTTGGCCTCTTCCTCATTTCTTGGTCTTGTGTATCGCTTTCTTTCCAGTCCCAGAAGCTGCCCTTCCAGAGCAAGTTCTTGGCCCTTTGAACCTTATTGTGTCAGTAACTTCTCCACTTCCAGTCTCCCATCCCAGGTTCCAGTGTGGCCTGGAGCACAGGTCCACAGAGCAACTTGGGCCGTGCTGCTCCTCGCAACTATTTACTTTACATAATGAAGTCTGGAGTCCTTAACCTGGTATTCAAGGCCTTTGCCTATCTGAAATGTGAGACTGCAGTCCTCTTCCGCTTCCATCATCCTGGTCCTGCTCGTGCAGTTAGACCTCATTGTGGAAGCAGAGCTCATTGGAGCTAAAGGGCCTCAGAACATATCGGTCTTCCCCAAAGTCATGTTTTCATTCAGAAAAGGCTTCATTAGGGAGACAGTCAAAAAATATGTCTCCCCACCTGCCCAGCCTTGGAACCTTGGAGATTCACACACATTTACGTAGCTT